ATAATATTTAGACGGTATATTCATTATACAGAGCTAGGAAGGAGCTAGACCGCCTAGACAGTGCAGTTAAGTGTATAAACATTTCAGACGTAATTATTGAGTCGAAAATCTTGCTTCTAGGCATTCAATTGAGTGCCGATATTATTTTCACGGCATACTCATTATACAGAGGTACAGTACGTGCAGGCAGAAGCGAGACAGTGTTGTTTTCAAGTATATAAACATTTCAGATATGAATATTGAAAAAATCTTTGAGATTCTACGCAATAATAGTAATACAATATATAAATTGATGTTATGCATTACCGTCGATATTATTTAGACCGTGTATTCATTATACATGCTCATTGACTGTATAAGGTGCTACATCACAGAATAGATGGCTATAGCCTATACTCAGTACAAAGAGCGAAAAATTGCATCAGATTTGTATCAGATCAATAAAGCATAAAAAACTATTAAACACAAGCGGGTAAGCGTTTGTACGGCGTTTACGAAGAAAAAAACTTACGAGACTAAAGGAATCAGTTGAGTCAGAGCTCCTTGTATAAATAAAGACGAGGAGATAGCCAACATGTTATCGCTAATCGCTTAATTGGCTCGCAAACAAGCTTTATGCAATAGAAGAAAAAAGCAAGGAGGTACATGTAGCCAACGTGTACATTCACGGACCTTGTCCTTGTCTTTGTTTACTGTCTAGTGTCTAGCACAACGCCGTTGTCAACGGTGCAAACTCGTATTCAGTGCAACGATAACTCTACCAGATCTTACGAGAATCAATCTGTAGTATTCTGTACACAGAACTGTATCAAAGCTTGTCAAAAATGTTTTAAACACTGCTATAACTGTGAAACTATTGAAATCTAAAGTGATATTTATATTCAACACATGCGAAAAGCTGAAAATAGACACACGTCACACTGGGAAAGGTCAAAGGTCAATGAAACTTGTTATTGTGAAACATGTCACAATTAAGTTAAAATGCGGAAGCGGATGGAGCGGATCCACGGAACGGATATGCGGATAAAATACGGAACGGATGAGGATAAAATGCGTCTTTTAATGATGTAACGACGTAGTGCTTATTATTCATAACATATCTTATACAGCTATTTCAATTGTAGTTTATTAGATAAATTTAGCATAGCAGTAGCCTCGTGGGGATGCTTTCAGCGACAGCTGCAAATGAAAATTTAGAATATGCAAAATTTGGTTGTTGGTGACACAATAAATAGATGAATTCCATCAGTTTCACAAGGCAAGTTTCTGATGTGTTAGGCTTGTTTCAAACGTCACGCTACTCGTGTGCCGAGCGTATTAAAAGCAATAAATAATGAGATGAAATGCTACCTAAGAACAATACATAATAGAGGCGAAATCAACGATGACGAATACAATCAACTATAAACCAGCACGAGCACATGGTCTTCCTAAAACGCATAAATCGTATGACAATTTACCACCACTAAGACCTATTATTGATACGACTGGCAACGCTTATCAACCAGTAGCTAAGTTTTTGTCTCGCCTACTCAACCCACTGACGCATAACGAATTTAGCTTAAAAGACAGCTTTGACGCGGTAAACAGAATCCAAAACATTCCCGACAACCTATTCACAGACAGTTACCGATTTATATCTTTTGATGTTAAATCTTTATTTACCAACATACCACTTCACAAAACAGTTCAGATTGTTTTAAAAAAGATTTACGACGAAAACATTATAACAACCACACTCAAGAAACGAACACTCAAAAAACTGCTCCTCGATGCTTGCACCAAAACTCAATTTTTCGCTAACGGGGATCTTTATAAGCAAATTGACGGAGTTTCGATGGGTTCCCCTTTAAGTCGACTTTAGCCAACATCATCATGATCGCATTAGAAGACAAAATAATAAAAGACCTTTTCGAAAACGATACTATAAAATTCTATATAAGATATGTTGATGACACATTAGTTTTGGCCAAACCATCTGATATTAACTTGATTTTAAATAAACTTAACAGCTACCATCTGGATATACAGTTCACGCATGAAGAGTTCGTCGATAACAATGAGGTAAATTTTTTGGATATCAAATTAACATCTAACGGCACTTCTATTTTTCGTAAGAGCACACACACAGGCCAGTATATCCATTTATCTAGTTTCACTCCGTGGTCGTACAAAATTGCGTGGATTAGGTCACTTGTGCATAGAGCTTACAAAATTTGTAGTAACGAAAGTTTAATTTCGGACGAAATGAGCAAAATTCGGAAATTTATGTCTTGGAACGGATTTCCTAAAACATTGGCCAACAAACTTATACAGAAATTTACTCCTAAGGCGGATCAAGCTTACATGAGTTCTAACATTAACAACCACATCGACGACCAAACAGAACAAGTTTGTAAAGTTTATGTTCGACTTCCATACATAGGCCAGACTGGAAAGTTTGGAAATTGCGCGCCGGAGATTTTGAAAATTTAATAGTAAATATATAGAAAGCATCAAAATTGCGCGCCGGAGATATCCACCGCGCGATACAAACTTTCCACACTGGTACATAGGTAAACGCGGAACTGACCTTATGCACAAATTTAAACTAAAAATTTCACGAATACTAAAACAACCGTGTAAGTTCATTGTTTATTGGGATACCACCACAACAGGCTGCTTTGTTTTGTGCAAAGATAAAACACCTAAGGAGTTTCAAAGTTCGGTTGTTTATAAATTTTCATGTCCTGGGTGCGGCAAAACATACATAGGAAAGACCGACAGATGCCTCTACACACGACTGAACGAACATGCAATCACAGACAAAAACTCAGAGATTTATGAACACATTAACACTTGCAAACAATTCAACTATCTCACAAATCTATTACAACTGAACATAGACGAACGCAACACTGACCAATTTAACCTAATAGCCTTCCTACTGAACAACTGCAACATTATAGACAGGGCTAAGCACTGGTCAAATCTGCTGTTCAAAGAAGCACTCACCATTCATCGACAAAAACCGGAACTGAATCATGGGACTAAAGCATCCAGAGAACTATCGGTTTTCTTTTAATTATATATCAAATTACGTAGAGTATATATAACGCATGCACTTGTAATATAACCATTCCTGATGATGACTAAATAAAGTCGAAACGTTGAATCAAAATGCTTACTTTATTCGGAGTTCCCGTTGTATTGTATTTTATGAAAATACTCAGTGGTTCCCGCAATTATTGAAATGCCTTTGGTAACTGTTTATTTCGTAGTGTAAGCCATCAAGCTTTTCTAGGTTGTCGGCGACCCTATATAGTTCTTGCAGTGTCTTTTTAAATTTGAAACTTCACACTATCCTTGGATCCCTAGTTCTATTTAACAATATTTTTTGAACATCAGGATTATTTTCTTTAAGTGTTGTGACTGGAATGACACTATGCTTGTACCATAATTGGTCACAACAAGTGCCAATATAAAGAGGACCTTGTGAGACAATATCATGGAATTTGGATATTAAACTTCTCTTCGTTCGGTGAGTTCGGCAAACTTCCAGCCACCCTCGGTGCATCCAATCCCGGCACAGGTGACGAGCCTACCAATCCTCCAAACTGTTGGCCGTTAATGTTTTCCTTTGCATCATCAAGCATCCATTCCAAAGCATAACTTTCTTGAATCTTTGAAAAAATACTGGTTTTAACTATTGGTCTCACATTTTCAGTCTCTGTGCATGGTTTAACTTTAGGAATAGGACAGCAATTATACGCTCTCCAAATCTTTCCTCTCGTATTGATAATCAGAGATCTTTACATAATTTTTAGTCAAGTTGACAAGGTAATTATTAATTTCTCCAGCTGACTCTGAAGATGTCAGTGGTTCTCCATTTTCAGAGTTTGTGAGGAAAATCTGTTGATTTTTACTGGAATTACAAATTTTTTTTGATCGTGCTCCACCAAGATTTAGAGTCGTTAAATTGTAGGGGTCTGATTTTCGTCGCGTAGAAGGTCTTCTCCAAGTCAGATAATCGTGATTTCAAATGCAGGTTTTCATTAGACAATTTGTATAACTCCTCATGGTTATTATCCTCAATAATTTTTGTTTGCAATTTTGGTCATCAAAGCCGTTACTTTGGACTCGATATTTTCTTTGAATATATTGAACTGTTCATGTACAGGGTTCAGGGTCGAAGATTTGACAGGTTGTGGCTTAAAGGGGCTTGAACTGTCGATAGATGCGGCAAGGGATAATTCATATGCCAAGGTCTTTTGGTATGATGCATCAATAAATTCCTGTAGTTGGTCTAGAGATAAACTATCATAAACAGTTGAGCTGTCAGAAACAGGTATTAGTGTTTCATGGTTAGGTTTAATACTATTGCTGCATGTCTATACCCTTTCCGCCAGCTTCCAAAGTAGTTTGGGCGACATGCAACAATTCATCCTCGGTAGACAGAACCGAGGTCGAGAAATTCACTATCCGACAATGTGGTCACTGTTGTTGTGCTTATATGAATAAGTGAAGTTTTCAAAGTATCTCCAATTTTACCTTTGGAAGACAAATTACCAAGATCATAGTTCCACGAAATAATTAGATCCGTATTGGAGCTACAAAATTATATTTTCCTCCCGATGCCGACCAGAAGCCAGGTTGACTGACAAAAATATTTGTAAATATCTTTAACATTTCAAAAGTCTCAGATCATTTAAATCTTTTGCCATCATAAGTAAAACATAATATTTATTGTAAATCCCAGTTAAGAGGGTTAATTTGAGTCCAACTAACAGAGCTCGTTTCAAATGCGCAGTGCGCCATTTTGATTAAATATCACACCACTCGCCCACTAATGAACTTATCAACTTGAACATGTTGCTAAATTTAGTTTTTGTTCGTTTGTTCGTCAATACGTTTGCTTTGTCTTCTTATATTTTTGTTTAATTGCTA